CGGAGGTGGTTTGGATTTAATTACTTATTAATGATCTAAATTTTACCATGTACTTTATTCAGCTGATTTATGACTTTGTTCTGCAATGCTGCTTTTATATTTTTATCATAAAAACAAGAATATTTTCAAATATAAAGAAAATGTTATCTTTTTTTTCTAATTTAATAGATTATTTGTTTTTGTTTTGTTTATTGTTACAGTATCAGTAATGTTCAGCTAAATGTCAGAATTTTAGAGGATGTGATTCCTGAGGGTTGCTGCGGAATAGACATGGAATCTTACATTTCCTTTGTTGGTCTTCTATTTAAGTTGAATTGATTTTTATTTATAATACTATATTTATCACCAATGCCAATGGATGCCCAAGTGAGTGGTGTGAGTAATACCCCAAGCGGTGGCAAAGTTACCTTTCATGTAATTTTAACCTCGGAGCGCACTCAGCCTTTTCGGGTGATCAGCATTGCAGAGGAGGCCCCGTTGACAGCAGTACTTCGATTTGCCGCAGAGGAGTTCGGAATAACCTCTGTAGACTCCATGGCCGCCACGACGAAGGATGGCACTGGTATCAACCCAGAACAAACTGCTGGTACGGCGTTCTTGAAATACGGACAGGAGATACGTTTAATTCCACGTGATCGTGTTGGCTAGGGAAAAAATCGAAACTGATTTTGTTTCCCTTGCTTGTGTATGTCATTGTATTTGTATCGATTTATGTGCTACTGTATTTTCACTTGTGAATGCATTCTTTCTCCGTATCAAGGGAATTCTTTAGAAATACAATTAAGATAGGAGGGAATAAAGTGAGTTCAGGTCATTGTATGCGCCGTCTAGTGGCTTTTTATTTTTTAACCTAAGTGTGTGTGTGTATAATTTGGAGAAGTGATTCTGCCCATATTCCTGTATTTTAGCATCTTGAGTTGCTTTTCAGTTTCAACATTTCTCTAATCCCCTTATAATTTTAACTTCACCGAACTAAAATCTACTATCCTAACCACTTTTTTATTTCTATCTTCAAATTAGTTTCATTAAATACTTCGAAATGTTATATTACTTTTCTCTACTTGTTATAGTTAGTGATACTATGCAGTCTTACTCATACAAGGAATGGAAGTTCACCCCTTTTTGTTATTAATTGAGCAATTTAGTGTTGTCATTATTGAAGAATTACTAGAGAGAGAAGGATATCAATATCACAGGATTTGTGTGGAGCAAATGGATTTTGAAAGTGAGGAATGATAAGCAATGAGACCCTTAGGTGCACTGGCAGTAGTAGTTCTTTTTCACTTTTAGCCACCTTGACATCTATAAGCCTTAGTTGCAAAACCAGAATTCGACAAGACTTTCCTTTTACTTGCCTTCTTACCATACAGAGTGCGTAGAGAAAAAAAATGTAATTTTCTAAACGTATTCTGTTGGTAAGCATTTCATTGCGACCACAACTCAATTTGTGCTGTGTAACTCATAAAAAATGGGGGAAACAGGACGCTGAGTCACCTTATTGAATAAATCACCCCAGTCTGGTCCGCTGTTAGGGCCAGTAAAGCATTTTTCCGAGGCTAAGGTTAGCGATTTATGTGGTGTAGATACAAGTGAGGGTTTGAAGGTGTGACCGCTCATAAATGAGTATAACTCCAGCTTCACACTCCTCCTTTTCTTAATTTTAGAGTGATATTTTTGACTTTATTTTATTCTGAGGGTTTATATTTGAGATACTCTTACCTTTTATTATTATTATTTGATAGTAGTAGTAGTATATAAATATATATCTATATATTTATTTGAAGAAAAAATACATTTCAAAGAATCCCAAAGTAATTTTATCCTAGTTTTGTTGTGTTGTGCGTGTTGCGAGGATATTCCAACATCACCTAAACCAAAAGGTTGTGTTCCAACGGATGGCGTTGTCCGAAGGGTGGAGCCAACCTGTGGCGGTTCGTATTAGCGGGGACAGTGGCGAATTAATTGAGCAGCCAACTCCCAGCAGCAGCTCCGCTCGAGCGCTCGCTGCGGTTGGCAACCCAATCGTCATCCGCATTCGCGACCCGGCGAACTTTGCCGACGTAACGCATTCCTCAAGAGATGGAAAGGCTGGATCGTATGATTTTGGCAACAGCATTGGCCGAGCCCTAACGGGGGCGCTTTTCGGCCGCGATATCAGCGAGACTTTTTGGGTCCCCGATCCGGCGCGAAATGAGACGGGCTTGCTCGAGGCGCTGCACCGCCGCGGCGTGGCGAATCGGACACACCTCCTTCTGCAGAGTCGTCCACTTCCGGAGCTGCAGATGAACTACTCCACCTGCACCGGCCGCAACATTGACCTCTCGCACAACATATTTAGGCTTTCAAAGACGGCCATGGCCGTCTACCACATCGACCAGCGACTCAACGTCGGGGATGAGGAGAAGTTCCCGTCATTTGCCGAGGCTGGTGGGGTCCGAGGCGCTTCCCCACAGGGTGGCTACATTGAGGGAGGTGAGACGAACTATGGTGTGCGTTCCTCCAACCTTGATAGAGCCGGGGCCTCGTCTCGCGGGGCGAAGCCGGTTGATTCCGGCGGCGCCTACATCAGCATGCCCGCACGTGGCTTCCAAGACGCGGTGCGCGCGAGCCTTGAGTTTCTGCAGGAGGAGGATTATTACCTCGTGCGGCACCGCGACTACAGCACCTGGGCGGTGAACGAGTATCGCAGCCTGGCAAAGAGCGACTCCGTGCTTGGGAAGAAGTACGTGGAGCAGTGCTTCGTGGTCCACGTCGGGCGGGACCCTGGCGAGCTCATCCCCATTACCGAGGCCCAGTTCCTCTTCGGGGTCGA